CGCTTGTGGACGCTCCAAAACGTTCATCAGATGGCCATCTGATGAACAAGCGGCAGGCATCGTTACTGTCCGATGTTGCCAGTTTACCCGTGGTTCGTACCTTCTGAGCCACGGTATTCCAAGGATGACATCAAATTTGTCATCCAAATCCAATACGATAAAGTCATCGTCGTATTGGGTATCTTCTAGCGTATAGTGAATCTTCACTATACGCTTCATGACGGTTACGGATGCGCCTGTCGCAAGACGTACCGTCATCCTCGTAGGAGGTGTGTCACATTCACTGAATTTAAAGTGACCATCTTCTAGCGATTGGCGTCGCACAAAATTGTTGGACGCCCCACAATCGACTAGAGCTCGAAGGGACAACTTATTCGTCACTTCGAGTTTCAAGGTAATGAGTGAGATCTCATTACCTAGAGCAGCAACGCACAATGTCTGTGTGTTGGGAGCAACCTTCATCAAGAGGCCTACAAATTCTCTTGACGTTGCTGGATCAGTAGGGTGCTCCGCACCTACTGATCCTGTCCGTTTTTTGACGGTCCATCCCGTTGTTGCGTCTTTGCACCAACTGCGGACCCTCGTCCCTGCCCCTTTCTCATGGGTGGACGGTCACTACGCCCAGTGTCGCGAGACACTGGACGAGGGGCACTACACTCGTAAGCGTAGTGTCCTGTCTTTTGACATCTGTTGCATCTCTGCAACTTCTTGTAGCCTGTAGAGCGAGCCTTCTCGCTCTCTACATAACAGAGTTCCATCGGCTCTGGACCTCCGTTGTCATATCGTCTCGGTTGACGATATGATGTCGAGCTGGCGCGAGCCTGTCTCAGACTGAAGTCTTCCTGCTCCGCAATTGAAATGGCTTGTTCTAGTGAATCTAGTTCAAGCCGGAACAGGTGAGTCTTGACGGGACCATCCGCAAGACCCTGCATGAACACCGAAACCAACGTGTGTTCATCCACCGGATTGGAACTTATACAACTCGTGAGATGTCGTATATGTTGAGCGTAAGCGTGCACATCACGCTTACCCTGCTTGAGCTTCAAGAGTTCGGTTCGAGCTCTGAACTCAGCTCTAGGCGGTTCAAACGTTTGTCTGAGCCGCGACTTGAAGACTTCCAACGACCCAAACGCATATGGGTCGTGCAGCTTGAGCCCCAGTGCCCAAGTCTTGGCACGTCCTGCCAGATTTGACTGGGCAAATGCAACTTGCATATCCCCGTCGTCGATGCGACGCGCCCTTATGGCGTCATCCAATTCGACGAACCATCTCAAGAGGGAGTCTTCTTCGACCCCCTATACTTTGAGATGTCAATCTTCAAAGTCTCGGGCCGACGCGAGTGCATCGACCCGCCAGCAGCAGCCTGCTGCTGTCTCAACAGTTCAAACTGTTGAGCACCTTGTTCTCTCAACAACTCTGCTTGTTGAGAACCTTGTTGGTGAAGCAAGGCTACTTTCTCGCGTTCTGCGTCAAGTTCATTTTGAATGAACTTGGCGATAGTAGCATGTTGGGCATCTCTATTGAGAGCCTCTAGCATGACGCTAACAGCATGGATGCCCATGGTCGAACCCATTCGTTCAACCGCATCCCATTCGACATCGCTCAAATGGGAGTAGCCGTCACGCGTAGCGTGAAAGCTTTGGTCATCTTCATCATCCAACATATTCATGTTGGATGTGAACGCGGTCCTTGGACGGACTACAAAGTGCTACCAGGTGTAACGGGGCACCCTGAAGCTTGTACTGGTGACAGTACAAGCTACTTATTCTGATGACAGAATAAGGCGGTGCCTCGTAACTTCATGTACACTCGTACGTGCAGAGGAAGACGGTAAGAAGAAGCGAGTACTCGGTTAGAGTAAAAAGTAGAACTGTATTTATAATAGTTAATGTCTGCAATAAATCACTATTTATCTTCATCTAACTATGTCTAAATACAAATGTGTAAATCAGTTATCTGCTCACCACTCATTGCGTGCGTCTGTCGTGGCGCGTCTTCGTTGGTTGATATAATGGCCTATATCAACCAATTAGGAACTACTTGGAAGTGCTACAGAATATTGTCCTTATGACAATATTCTGAGAATATAACTCTTATAGTTATATTCTATTAACAATTTCTTATAAATTGTTATGTAACGATTCACCCCGTTACAGCTAGAATTTATGATAATAGTAGGGTGAGCAGAGAGTACCGCTGGCAGCTCATAATGTATCATAAAGTAGTTCAATGAAAATCAAAGCGTCGGTTGCTGTCGCTTTTCCGGCAAGCCCGATCTCGGCCCCATTCTTAAATCTTTATTATCAGACAAGTCGCGTACAATTAGCTGTACTTATAGCAGGACGCCCGTCATAGTGCATTGTTTACAAGCACAAGCAGGCCAAATCTGGAAGCGAGGATAAAATGTGACGCAGTAGGATTGCTATTGGACACGACCGAGCACACTGGTGCGTAAATTATGAATGTTGAGCTAAGACTAGGCACTGTCATGTATCGGTATGGTAGCGATTATCGCTGATCGCGGCTGATCGCACATCGACTAACTTTACATAAGGACGCCAAACAGAATATCACTAACGTACACGATGCTACCCAAAGCAAATAGGTATTGTGTCCAGCGTTGTCGAAATGCTCTTGACTTGACCAGGCATTGGGCACAATCTACTGTCACTTCACTATGCGACGTTCTTGACATAGTCGGTCTACCTGCGAAAAGTAAATTAGTGTGGCTCATCTCGTAGAGTTGGTGTATTGTGAGCGTAGGTACTAGCGTGTCAACAACTATGATAATATACACGACATAGTGACCCTCAATACAAAAGACCGATCCGTCACCACCAAATTATTAAACATGCTAAATCTCTAGCAAATTTGTCACAATTTTGGATACCATGAAACGACCAAATCAAAAGATGAGGGAGCAAGCTCTGGAGCTCGCCCTGAATAACGTAATCCAGTTCGGAAACTAAATCAAGTTGCAAAAATCTATACAATAGCAGTCACTGAAGATTGTTTATGATGCTGTAAATGTCTGTATTAATCCAGTACAGTTTACTTGGGTAACACGATCGGCCTTTGCTTTAAGCGTCAGCATTTGCTTATGAGCGTCCAGCATTTGCTTGTGTGATCATATTCACCTTTGCTCAATTTTAAGCCAATCACAAGCGTGTGCCACAATAGTGACCTAGCCAAAAATTGACTTCGGATAAACCTATACTTCTGAGGGGGACAGGCTGGATCGCATTTATTGCGTGAAAGGTACTCCAAACCGCGTTATTTACAGACACAGACACACATAGATAAGTACGATTCAAAAGTTCGGCATGCAACCATGCGCACAGTCACTAATAGCTGTACCCTTCGGGCTCGCAATTATTGAATCTGACCTATCTCGTGAAAGGGCTTAACCGTGTACTATACGGCCTAGATGCATCATACACTTTTTCTCCTTCGTTCTATGAAAATGCTCTGCACTTTGCTCTGTGCATTTACGTAGTGTACTCAACTACTCTCTTTTTTGTACCAAGTGCTGCATTTCTATACTGCAATAAGGGCTCCTCTACATCACGAAAAATAGCACTTCAAAACCGCAGCAAAAAAGTTCTTCTGTACCGTGCCAAAAAATACGCTAAATGTTACGCTCGTTTGAATAACTCGCCAGGACCAGTTGCTATTTCTTCGACCCTGGTCTGTCTCATAAGTCTCCGCATTACTTTGTACCGGTCGAGGCTATGTACAAATACTTCTGTGAGCGAAGCATCTTTGTGACATGGTCCACGCCAGTCCATTGGCCACCATTATTGCAATGGCGTTTATGTCACCGATACCACGCCAGCTAATTATGGTGTTGCGAAGCTGACAAGTCGGCGAAAATGCGGTCATGGTTTGTCACATTTTATCCGCTGGATCAATTGGTCGTCGAGCTCTGACAGAGTCGTTGACCCAAGCATCAGATCATACGCTCGTGCGGATTGTTACCCGACGATGCAGAAATTACAGAAAGGGCTCCGACGTGGGGAGCAGCAATACATGAACAGGCGCACGGATGGTCACGCTGCAAAAGGGGACGAGCATTCGTGTCCACGGTAAAGAGCCACACATGCGTTTGCTACAAATCGAAACGCATTGCAAAGGCTTTCTGTCCAGAGCGTATTCCAGTGCCGAGGGTTCGCTCACTTGACCCCGTGGCACGTCGCATTGGCTGTGACTATCATTCAAGTGCGAAGTTCATCGCCAAGAGCTTTTTGCTGGCAACGTCGTGGCAGTGCGTGTCCCACTGAGGCGAGTTCGCGTGTGCAGTTTCGAGAGCCAGAGCAGGGGCGCAACTGGAGCAAGAGCGGACGAACCGGCGGTTTGCCGTATCTCGGAGTGTCTCTCGGCGTCTTGATACCAAAGATGGTGCGATTCAAGGTCTTGGCCACTAGGAGTCCCGGCGCCAAGGAGCCTCTTGATGCTTGTAAAAACCGCTTGTAAGCCGACGGCAAGTTCAACAAATCCGCAAGAAGTGGTGCAAAGCGTTCGAGCCGGTGCTATTGCCAGAAGCTTCGGCGGGACTTTTTACAGTCGTGCAGTCGTGAGCGAGCTGTAGACTGGCGCCATCGCGCGCTGCTCTACGGCTGATAAGTGTGTGAAGCGTTGTCGTCTCGCTCACGGAAGTGTCAGACTAGTCAACGCGCCAGCTGAAGCGCATCGCGGCTTTCGATTGGCTAAAGCGGAAGAAATAAGCACTGATTGGTCCAGATCGAACGACGTTGCGCCCACTCTGTCGAATATTCGTGCAGAGATAAAAAAAAGAGCTCTGCAGTGTGTGACGACGACTGCCGCCGACCGTCGCTCGCACAACTGAATCGAAGACGAGCTGAAGCGACAGGGGAGGGGGGCGGTGGCAGTGGCAGCAGCAGCAGCAGTCGAAACGTGTCGTAACACGAGACGAAGCCAACGTCGAAGTTCCGTCCAAGCGCTTGTCGGTTGCTGCTACTGGCGCGCGCTTGGGACGGCGAATGGGCTCCAACAGCGCCATGGAGGACGAACTGCACCCTGTCATGGACGTGGAAACCGCGGCGAGTCGACGACCGCTGGGCGAGAACAAACACCAATGCAGGGACCGGTTGGCGTCCACGAGTTCGTCCGGGTACTCGGACGCCAACTCGGTGGACGAGGCCAGTGGCTCGGCACTCGAGCTGCCTCCGCATCTGCGGGACCATTTGGTTAGTGTCGTGCACCGGAGTTTGCCCCCCGTGACGTCGCTCGAGGGCGAGCGCCTGCCTCCGATGGACAAGTTGCGGCCACCGCCGATGCGCATTCCGCTGCTGCCGGAGAATATGAAGATGGAACCGATTCCAGGCATGAACCAGCGCCGTCAGATGAAGCGCGTGATCGTGTGCGGGGCTGGCATCATCGGCCTCACCACGTGTTACTACCTTGCCAAGCAGGGACATGAAGTGCTCTGTGTTGAGAAGGAGAGGGGCGTGGCCACGCAAGTCAGTTTCTGTAACGGCGGGTTCTTAGATCCCGCTTTGTACGCCAGTCGGTCGGACATGACAAATCTCCGCAAAGGCAAGCGACGGCACCCGGCTGCTGCTGCTGCTGCCTCCACGACGTTAACCACGGCGGCAGCAGATGGCAGCAGTGTAACCGTCACGAGCGGTCCTCCTGCCGCTGCAGCCTCTAGTTCGTCCCGAGAAATAACTGTCTCGATGCGGCCAGCGCGTGGATCCGTGACCAAGTGGCCGTCACGGGAAAAGCCCATGAAAATCGAAATGTCGGCTTTTCGAGACGCGAAGTTTTGGAAATGGGGGCTCCAGTTCTGGCACAATTCGAAAAAAGGGCGCTCGAATGAACACTGCCGCACGATCCGCGAGTTGGGGTTCTATAGCATGCTGAAATTGCGCGAGTTGCAGGCGACGACGAAGAAAGGGGAAGTGGTGATGGACCAAACGGCCCAAGGCACGATTGAGATTTTTCGAAATCATAGCGAGTTGCAAGTGACGTTACAGAGCGACCGAAGTGCGCATTTGTCGGAATTAGGCATGGACTTGCACCCGCTGAATGCGACGCAAGCCCATAATCTAGAACCGGCTTTGCGGTCCGAGATTTACGCGCCTGGAGCAATTTTATCCGCATTTGGGACAAGTGGCGATGTGCATAAAATGTGCCAATCGCTGTATCGCTTGTGTATGCGACAGGGTGTGATGTTCCGCTTCAATACGGAAGTGCAGCACATTTTGACCGACAAGACGTCGGTCATTGCATTACAGACGCGGAGAGGCTCGTTGATTGAAGGAGATGAGTTTGTTCTGGCGCTTGGCAATTCGACGGGTCCTGTCGCAAAACGAGCAGGAGTGAAATTGGCATTGTATTCGATCAAAGGATATGTTTTGTCGGTCCCTGTGGCTGCTGGCTTTCGTGCTCCTATCCACAACGTCTACGCGGGTGGCCATGCACTTGTTGCACCTCTGGGCAAATCGCTGCTGCGAATTTCTGGTGGTGTGGATTTCGTGAGTCAGAAAAAAGCAGATGAAGATTCACCGCGGGATCAGAAAAAGCGGTACGACGGGCTTTTGGCTCAAGCTACGGTCATGTTTCCAGAAGGGTACCTGGACGTGACTAAAATACAGACACATACTTGCTGGCGTCCGGTGACAGCAGACGACGTGCCTCTCGTTGGTCGAACCAAGATCCGAAATTTGCACGTCAATGCTGGTCACGGCTCCAAGGGGTGGACACTTTCGTTTGGAGCTGGAGCACTGATTGCTGATGAAATTAGTGGACGACGCCCACAACTTGACATGACTAAGTTTGCACCCGATCGCTTTGGCTTTTTCGGTTAAGTGAACGATCGCCCCAGTGATTTTTGGGGATATTTGATTATTTGCCAACACACATAGAGACTGCGTGTGTGACGAGTAGCAAAAGTGAATGGGCAAAGTGTGGTTGCAGATGGCCTTGTTGTGGAGAGTTGGCTGGTAGGGAATCGACGAAAATCGGTTACTTCTGCGTCACTCTGCTCGGGTGATACACTGCGATGATGCCTGTCGGCACACGCTGCTCACACTATTTTTGCTACTGCTCTCGCGCGTGGTATTAATTAATTCGATCTCATTTACAATTGTGTTGTATGTTTGAATCAGTGTATGCTTAAGAGCGCATGTTACTTCATGTGTGCGTCCGTGTTGTGCTGAGGAGTGTACAAGAAGATCAACATCGGGTCTCCGGTCGGCTTGTTGTGACGTGGATCCAGGTCATACTTTTTGCGATGTTGTAGCACTCCGTAGTCTTCAAACCGGTCATCCAATGGCCAGTTCTCATACGATGGCAACTTTCCAGTGCTACAGGCTCGATATCCAAGCACAAAATAATGCAGGCAACTACGACTGCAAAACAGGCAACAAACTTGTGATCTACGACAATATGCTTGTTGCCTCAAGACTTCTGTTGATTGTGGTGTCACTGATCTGATGAGCTGCCGAGGACTTGTCGAAAGTGAGCATTTTTCCGGGATTTTTGAAACGCAATGTGATGACGAAGATCACACGCTTGGCAAGAGCTTGGCGTGTGGCGCTAGACATTGCAGTGATGTAGCGTTGCTCCTTATGGAAAACGCTTGTCAAAGCTTTTTCGCGCATGATTTTCTTGAATCAACGAAAGTTCTTAGGACGAAACTTTGCGTGTGTTTTCGATCAACAGCCCGGAGCTTGTGGGGACTGTAAGCTCTGGTTGTTCATGTTCGATAAAACTTGTCCGAAGTTTGGACCTAATGGGCTGATATAGACAACAGTCCTGTGTGCCACCAGCAAAGGTGTAGATAAACCTACGTAGCGAACCCACTCGACGCTTTATGCTTAAAGTTGCTGTCTATAAATTGGTGGTTTTGCTCTCGAAGAAACTGCAAGAGGTCTCGAACAAACAAAGGTGCTTCGTTAGCTTGCAAGACGGCGTTAGGCTGACTAAATTATACACTTATGCGCAATCCACAGACCGTCATAACTGTACTGAACTTATCACAATACATCGGCAAGGTCTTTCAATACTTTCGGAGAATGTCAAGGACATTCGAAGGTGGCGCTTCCTTGTCGCCATCGATTCTTGTGATCTTCTCCACCATGATATATTTCATTCGTACTGAACGAGCCATCACACTCTCCTTTGCACCCTTAGTTAAATAGCACATGCATGCACAGCCAACGCAATAGCGGGTTGGTGATTTTAAAAAAGGAGGCGCGCATGCACGACGACTACCATTAGATAGAGGAGCAAGCTCTGGAGCTCGCCCCTTGACAAAGCCATCCAGTTCATAGAAGTGAAGCAAGGTATAAAACACTAAGCAACAGCAGCAGTCACCGAAGACTGCTGCTGTTGTACAGTGTTTTATACCTTGCTTCATTTTATGAACTGCTGCTGTAATTGTCTGTATTATCCTAGTACAGTTGGCTGGGGCAACGCGATCGGCCTTTGCCAATGATCGTCCAGCATTTGCTTGTGTGATCATATTCACCTTGCTCGATTTCAAGCCAATCACGAGCGCGCGTCACAACAGTGACCAAGCTAAAGAGTGACTTCGGATATGCCTTTATGCCTACATGTGGTGGGGACAGGCTAGATCAGACTTAGCACGAGAAAGCTCCGCCTAACCACGTTTTTTACAGACAAACCGGAGACACACAGATAAGTACGATTTGAAAGCTCAGCATTCAACCTTGCGCACACTCACTATTAGCTTCACCCCTAGAATTCGCAATAAATCAATTAGGAAGTAGGTAGTCACTACTTCAGTTTACGTGCTTGACATGCAGCACCTGTCATGTTGCACCGTTTGTAAAACTGCTTAGTACGGTCACACCAGGTGGTTGCTGTTACAGTATGACTAATCGCTCCTTCATGTAATGGCCCAACAAAACACCCTTAATGTTAAATTACATCCGCTCTAAAACAGATAAAGCTTGTCATTGGCGAATGTTTACACGAGCTTGTTCACAGCTCGATCGATCACCTATGTCATAAACATTTAAGTGTGTCATGGCATTCTGTTCACAAACTTCTGCCGCATTAAAGTGTTCGCTCACTCAAGATTAAAACGACTTTCATCGGCAGGCAATGATCATTTAATTTTGAGGTTCAGTCTTTCATACCGCATTTTATCGTTTTACGAAGCGTGTTTAAATCTGTTCTACGCTCATGCAATATTAACTGCACACTTGTTGCTGTCAGATACCAAGACCCGTATCGTACCGCTGTTTTCTTTTCATTTCGCAAAATCATCAGCGACAATATCATTTCAGCCAAATTTGAGAGCAAGTGCTCGTTCGGAGCTAGGCGAGACAAAGAGTATCCAGGATCTGGTGTTGTATGTTCACTGTAACGGAGCACCAGAGAAACACACTGGACAACCAGTGTGCAGCTACTCTTACCGACAGCAGTGTGGGTGGTGCCTCGCTACCTCGGTTTGCTTGGCAGAAGAAAAGAAAGCAACAAGGATACTGGCTAGTTGCTGGTAAAACTGTATTAAATGCAATAAGTTCCAATCAGTAAACTATATTTTAGTTTTAGCTTGATTATGTTTATCTACAAAACTATATGCTTGAGTCTTGCTACCACTCATTGCGCACGTCAATCGTTGATTGGACCAATAGAACTGGCTGTTATGATGACCCATATCAGCCAATCGGTAAGTATTGCTGCCTTTTACGCTTTACAGGAATATTCAACATCATCATCAATCTTTATCATTAGATCCTAATTAATAGGTATCAAGAGTAGTTTCCATCACCTCCTCTAAACTATAATCACTAAATCACAATCATGTTGATGTGGTCTCTGTTAGACCACATCAGGGACAAAAAGCACTTGTCTTGGTCTGATCCATACATTTTGGATCTCCATCGCATATTGAGTAAGTCCATGCGATGCGCGGCAAAAGCTGCTGAGAAGACAGCTGCGCTAGTTAACGCAGATGCTCTTGACGATGCCCAGCCTCTCGCGGCAGACGAAGCTTTGTCCGCTGCCGCTGCAACTTTTCCTGCAGCACCGGTTTCTTCAGAGGCACATGGTGAGTCATCCCTTGCTAAAAATTATGGCTCCCAAGTGATGCTTATCTATTTTGAGAAGTCGGAAGGTGATTCTGTCTCGAAGAAGACATTTAGGTTGCCCGAGAATGTTAAGGCGGCAGAGTACGAGCTATTGAATAGGACTAAATCGGGTGTTAGACTCATCTTCACTACTGGAGTCTTTTAAGTTTATTTAAGGAAAATTCTGACTCATCTCCCGCTTTTGCCACTTGCATTAGACTTTTAAATAACTCGGAGATAGTTTTTACCATCTTGATGACGATTCTAGTGGTACCAAGACTTCCTTTGGTACCACGAAGGAGGCTCTAGACGTTAATGTGCTACGTCTAGCCCCTGAACGCAAGCCTTGGGTCTTAACTGAAAGTCCTTTGATTGAACTGTCAAGTGATATAAGTCTTCATCGTCGAATTCTACTATACCACGCGAGGTGGTTGCACGGCCTAGATACCAGCGCTAGTAACTTTCGTGCTGAAGAAGTCTTTTTCTGAAGCATAGTTGGTAAAAATTGGCAACAATAAGCGAGACAAGAGCGTTGTTACTGGTGAGTAACGCCTTTATACTCAATGTGCAGCATATTGGGCGCGAAGATTACTTTAGAAACTTAACACAGCTCGTGTTAGGTATGAGAAATGGACCATATCTGGTGCACAAGCCAGGTTTGCACTATCTGTCTTTTGAGACAAAATTCATGCCTCACGCGGGTCGAACCACGTCTATTTTGCTGCGACCACACTGGACGTATCCAAAGAAACGTATACTCCCTTCAGGTTTCACATTTATTCTGAGATGCCCGATGCGATCGCGTATTTGCAATCGCTCCACATCGCCATAGGCGCTTATTTTTTAATGGCCCGTCTGAGGCATAGAATGTGCCTCGTCGTACTGGCGAACGAGAACCTCAACGTCAATTGTAAGCTGGACACGAGGCTCCCGGCTGTCGTGCGACGGAGAATGGCCACACCAGCGAACAATCTAACTCATTATCTTCTCCTTCACGTCGCGATGGTCCCTAGATAAGCTCCACGTAAAAACTTCTACCAACGTGTGAGTCCACAAATGACTGTGGCGGGGGTGGAAAGAATAACTCTAAATGGTTTATTGGAGTTGAAGCCGGAGGTTGGCCATATTCAGCAAGGCTTGCACGATCTGTTTGATTGCTTCGAGCGAAAAATACAGGAGCGTCTCTCTACAGAAGCGTGGGTGTAACGCATGCGCTTCTATCGATAAGTTGACCAATTAAAGTTCGAGTTCTATTCAATTTGAAATGAGCGAAAGCGTCAAGCCTATCACGACGAATTGAGTGACATTCGTCGCCAGCTTGCGGCAACACAAAGCCATGATCAGAAATTGTCTTATGATTAGAAGAAGTTCTGGAGATTATTAGTGCAATGGTAGTATACGTCTTATAGAGTGACATCTAGTGGATAGTACGGGCAGAGACGACCGACGTAAACCGTAGGATGCGTACGCATTCTGCGAAGCAACTCGATCGTGTACGCGTTGACTTTGATATGTAGTACACGAAATGGGCCAATGTACTTAAGTTTTAGATTACTAGTACCCATAATAGTTACTACGTACTTAGGTAAATTTATCAAAGACAGTTTTACTAAGTCTCCAACAACGAACAGAAGAACGTTTGCTGTTCCATGTTTGTCAGCGTTCCGTTTCTGCCGATCCATGGCACTAGCGACGAATTCTTGCACGAATGAAATTAATGCTTCTCGTATCAGCAGAAAATCTCTGGTGACTCAATTTATTTTGTTGCGTTGCGCCTTGGGTGCACTGCTAAAATACATCTTCCTTTTATGACGAGTGTGTTCTCATTCTCGCCGGTGTAGTCTTTTGCAATAAAAAAATAAACCAGCCTCATCTCTTCATCTGAGTCAGCAATGGTGTCGTCGCTATTGCTGAGGTCATCTTCTTGTATGAAGATAAGATCGAAATCAGCAACGTTCACGTCGTCGAGTACCTTGACACGTGATGAGCAAAAGACAGAACGGTGTTTGCTGGATCAAATCCCTTCCCCTTAAAATCAGGGTCACACTTTGAAAGAGTAAGTAGGCGTTGATGGTGGGTAAGCCGTTCACGTAAAAGGTGCATGCGTTGTCGATGCATGCACGGAGTGTTGAAAGCAAACTCAGCCATCGGCAAAACGTCGCTTTAGTCTGTAAAAGATTTGACGCACTCCCGAAGTATCTTCATGAGGACACGAAAGACGCGTTTCTTCTGACCATTAGTGTTAGAGTGGTCAGAAGTAGATAGCCGGACGTGTTCTGAAGGATCGGAAGACGTATTGCCAAAACGCTGCCGTGAGAGGTCGAGAAGCTGGACTTGTGCTGGTCGTTCCACACGATATTGAGCGTTTCGTGGAGGATCTCTGCCAGATGATACTAAAATGTAGACCGTGGAGTCGAAACACCGTGTCAATGAAGACATGGGCCCAATTTTGTACTCAGATTGACGCATTAACTGCAGCAAGATGGTACATCTTGTTAAATCGGTCTACAAACACAATTATACAATAATTCTTTTGAGTGTGTTCTGGGATACCGAAATCAAAGTCCATTGGGACGGACGGCTAGCACATTGCCGGGATCATTAGAAGCTGTAGTGGCAAAAGAGATGATGAACTCGGGATCACTGGTTGAAAAACTCGCAAACACGAGTGTACTTGCGCACAATCTGATACTAACGGGCCCTGTTAAAGTCGCGACTTATCGTGAGACAGGTTGTGTCACGCCCACGATGCCCACTAGGTGGCGCAGTATGGAAATCATACCACATGTGCAAGCTCAAATTAATATGAGTGGAACCGTCGACACGATGTGTTTTGCTGGCAACGACTGTGTCATGCACCATCCCGTTGCACGTTGGAAATTTACATCCGGAAGACCAATACAAAGTTATTTAATTCATAGAGATTCACGAGAAGGAGTCACTAGATGATCCATTCGTCGCAAAATGGGTTTATCTTCTGCGTAGGCCTTTCTTATGTCGTCAAGAAATGTTAACGACGTAACATTAGTGAAAATTGGTGCAATAGTAGTATCAACCTCACTGTCTGACCGCGCAGCCAACTCGAAATCGGGCCGGTGCGACAACGCGTCCGTGACGACATTAAGTCGTTTGGGTTTGTTCTCCACGGAAAATTGTACTCCGTAAATAAGAACAGCCATCTATTCATCCTTTGACAAAGGTGTGGGCTGTTTACGGCTGTGCGTAATGATGCTTGGTCTCTGTGCAGACTACACGCATTCTATCTATAAGTATGAAGACACGGATTTCACTAGTGCATACTTCATGGCAAATAGCTTATTTTTATTCACTGGGTAATTACGCTCCGCTGCTTGTAGCTGTCGAAATTGATAACAAGTGCGCACTCTGCGCCGCATGGATAGTAAGGCATAAACGCGCAGCCGATTACAAAATTGCTGGGGTCACAGACCACATCAAATGGTCTGTCTTGGTCTGCAGCTGCCAAATCTGTTGTGAGTATGAAGTTTTGCTTGATGCCGTTGAAGCGACGCTGGCAATCAGCACTCCATGACCACTTCTCGTTCTTTTTTATTAAGACGAGAGAGGTGAGCAATTATCTTGGCTTCTCTGCGCAAATTATCGTGTAAGTGCTTCGCTAAAACAAGTTACTTTTCAATCCCACGGCGTCTTCTAGCACAGGCCAGTAGGTGATCTCCTTGATCTCATCGAGATCAAGGGTTACACCGTATTTACTCACAATGCACCCAAAACACAATGTCTTGCTAGCATAAAATGTATACTTTTTGAGGCTAGCATGAAACTTACGCTCACGCATCAGCGCAAGAACCTGACGAACGTGTGTTCTTTGAATCTCTACATCCGATTTTCCGCCCATTACCCGGCTCTGAACGAACACATCGTCGAAGCAACTCGGTGCGAAATCTCGCACCGGTCTCAACAGATGTGTTACATATCTGTTGAATGTGGAAGGGGCGTTGCTAAGCCCTTGTGGCATTACTAGCCAATCCCAGAACATACCGCTCAGGGTGCTCACTGCCGTTTACGGGATTTCCCTTTCACGTATTAGGATCTGATAGAAGCCATACATCAGATCCATGAACGAAAGGAAAATACTTTTTGTCATACCACCGACAATTACGTCGTTTCTTGGTACCGGATCGGACGCCGATACCGTTGCAGGATTCAGCTTATTAAATGCGTGTATCATCCGTTACACTTCTATGGTCTTGCGCACACAGAAGATTGGAGAGATGTGAGGAAGTTAAATCCCTCACATTACCCGCAGATAAGCGATCACACTTGTTCACGGTGCAGTGGACCGGTAATTCTTGACACAGTATTTTGAGCCCGGTTTGAGCTCAATTATACGTCAAGTGCCTATACCCGTAGGCAACTCGCATGTTACGGATTCAGGGAACACGCTCTTGAACTCGATATAATCCCTTTGTAAAATAATTGCCTGAAGCGAACCCAAGATTGAGACAAATGTCGCTCAATCTGAGTCTTCTCATCGCGAAATTTCAGTCTTTTGATGAGCTGCTATGAAACTGTTCGTTCTTGGCAAATACTACTGCCGGCCGAATGCCGGTCACGTATTCGTTTTTCGTGACTAGTAAACAGATCTGTATGACCTTTTCACTGCATTAATCTTGCGAACACCGGTTCTAGTGTTGTCAGCTGTTGTTAGCTGAGCAATCTCCTATTGCAGCTCAGAGGAAGATTAGATTAAGTGTACAAGTGCCTACAATTGAACCGTCTTTACCCAAGACATGTAATGTCTCGGTTTCTTTTAGGTAACCTTGTTCCGCATGCTGCTGGGAACTTATTTCCTCAGGCTGATGAGGTCTCGCTACATCAATTATGATTGCTTGTAAAAATTCTTCCTCAAGTACTTGGGACTTACTCTCCCAACATCTTCTTGCTGTGGTTGCGCGACCACAGATAGGTCCGCTGCGATTTAGTCTACAGACGATCTAAAATTATATTGCCCTGTGTGGGCAACTGGTATATTTTTACTTAAATTGGGCCCGCTAGGCGCACACCGATGTCCCGGTTCACTCGACTCCTTCGTGTGATGGACTTTAGGCGCTGCCTATGCATTCGCACAGCCGCCGGCAGCTTCCTCCACAGTGTGATTGGTTGGCGCACTGTGATCTTGTGCATTCGTTTTAACTAAAGTACAGCAAGTGAGGCCATCGCACTCACTCGCAGTACACCCACACGATTGTGGACGCTCCAAGAACTTCATCAGATCTCCATCTGATGAACAAGTGGAAGGCATCTTCACGGTTCGATGATGTCAGCTGACCCTTAGTTTATACTTTCTGAACCAAGACAAACCTAGGATGACATCAAACTTGTCATCCAATCTATGTAAGATGAAATTGTCATCGTACTGCAAATTTTATAGCGCGTAGCAAAATCCCGCTTCACCTCTCATTACTGCTATCGATGCACCTGTTGCGAGGCGCACCGTCATTTTCGTATGAAAAGAAATGCGCTAAACGATGTTGAGCCTGCGGTCCTCTGGTAACTGGCGACGTAGAAACTTTTCGACGCCCCACGGTCAACTTAGGCACAAAGTAACTTTCTTTTGCCACTTCATAGATCAAGATGATGGGGAATTACATCATCGCCAAGTGCAGAGACACACACGGATTGTGAGTCGGGATCAATTTTTATCAATTGGTTTGCAAACTCATTAAGGTGGCTAAATCACTAGGGCGCTCCGCTCCTACTGACCCGACCGTTTTTTTACGATCCAGCACGCTTTTGTGACTTCGCAGTAGCGTTGGACCCGCGTCCGTCGCCCTTCTTTTCCGATAGTCAATCACTTCGCCCAGCGTTGTGGAACGCTGGGCGTATAGCTACACTCGTAGGCGTATTGCTTGTACTCTGACGGCGATTACATTTTGCAATTGCTTACTGTTTGAAGTGCGAGTTCTCTCACTCTCAACACTGCAAAGGACCTTTAGTTCTGGACCTCCCGGATCTACTCGTCATGAAAGACGATAGGGGATTAAAATGGTGAGAGCCTGTCTCACGCTAAAGTCCTCTGCAACGCGATTGTAATCGCTTCCTCCAGCGACTTTAACTCGATTTGGAATAGATGGGTTCTCACGAAACCTTCCGTTAGACCCAGTAAGGATATCGTGATCAGCACGAATTCACTCATAGAGTTTGCTACAATGAAACGTGCAAGGTAGAGAACGTTTTGATCGTAAGCGTGAACGCCGCGCTTACCTTTTCGTGTACTCCGAAGCTCTGAAAGATTCCTCAAATTAACTCTTGGCGGCTCAAACTTTCGGCTGAGCAGAGTCGTAAAGACCGCCAACGATCCGAACCTGTTTAAATCGTGTAATAAACGTTTACGACCCAAGTGCTGGGTACGCTCTGACAACTTTGATCTGACAAATGTAACTCTTAATTCCTCGTCGTCTCATGGCACGCGAGTATATCGAGTTTATAGGATCTACTGTTCCCAAAGTTGGGCATACTTCTGAGTTATTACTTTTGGGTTTCAGCTGAAAACTCCCATTTGGAATAACCCAGTCCAATACAATGAACCCAGCCGTTCAGCATTTGCCTTGGATGAAGAAAAAGCGCACCTGGTGTGGGGATTTAGGGCAAGAGCAGTGCGACACCTAGGCCGGTCACTGCGCCGCGTGTCTGCTGAGGACATGGCCCCGTCCGTCACGCGGAGGCTTGTATAGTCGGATAATATGGCGCCAAATAACGACGACGTTGTCCTCGACACGTACAAGGAGCAGGATCTTATAATATCACAAAGTGAGACGTCGGGGGAGCAGGCTGTAAACTTTCTGAATACGCTTGTGGGTCGTGAGTCTCGCCCTGTAGATGTGATCAAGCCTGCAGGTGGGATCAAGCTTGGAGATGTTAAAGATCCTGCAGATGCACCTCACCCTAATAAAACCTCCAAAACACTCGGTCTACAGAAGAGACATTTGGACATAGATAACTTTATACGTTGGATGGAGGATGTGCACAAGTATGAGTTGGAGTATGATGAGTTCCGCGTACCCGAATCATCAGTAACGGTGCAGAAACCGAAGGAGCTGATGGAACTGCTGCTATTGCTGCGAACGAGATTGGAATATGAAGGTGCAGAGTCTACGACCCGCTGGCTGCCCGATTCACTAGTTGAGTTACTACAAAACTCCTAAAGTGCTGCTCAACGCCTGGCTGCAGGTGAAAATGGACGCCGACGACCTCTATCATCTCCTCTTTTACAAACGGTAAATACAATTATTGGAGACCTGGAAAAAACGCAATCATGTGGCTCAGGTACAACGCGCTGTTGGTTGGACGTACTGGGCGTAATGACCATTGACTAGTCGTTGGAAAAGCTGCTCAGAAGCGTGCGCCAACCAACGTTTGCCGGGAAAATCATCGAAGAGCTCAGATGAACACAAAAATGAAAAGAGATGTGCACCTGTACATGGCAGCAAAGAAGCCCTTTTACAGCAAGGACTTTGATCAATGTTTGCGACTTTTGCAGATGCGTACGTGCGCTCACGGGGGCTGTCGAGATGAATGAAATTGAGCGAGGGGAGGTAGTAGCTCAGAACAACTGTCTTGACATTGCATAGAATATGGTATGCTTAGAATAGCAGGAGCAGCATGTAAACTAAGGACCTTCAATACATCACTTTACATTTGTTCGCATCCGACACGAAAGTATCATTTGGGCAGGGCACGATACTACGCAGTCTCCATCGCCAAGCCGTTGTCGATACAGACTTTCATACACGCGAACGTACATTCGGCTTGACATTGGTTTGTCATGTCACGTTTTCTTCATGAATTGTACATGCAAGCACAGAAAGGATAGGAAAGCCGCATGGAATGAAGACCATGCAGACTGTCAAGTTATGCGAAGTGCAGCTGTTATTACACCAGATCAGTTGACAACGAATACAAGCCATCGCTTCAACTACAACGAGTTGACACGAGGTGTCTTCGTCATTGTTCACCAGCCTGGCTTCTATAAACGTGGATCATTTGCCGTTGCGCAAGCCCGCCTTGATCAGTCAAAATTCTGGTCATTCGTTGCCGGATCGAGCTCTCGCACGTTCAGCAACTACCACGCCACTGGAAAAACAGTTGCTCTTGTCACTGCCGTATCGACCTCAATCCACTGCTCGTGCCTCGTTCTTATCGTACTCTCACCTGGGATACGGCTGACTTGTTTGGCACTTGCAGAGAAAGCTGTGTTCTCCACTACCAGTCGATTACATGAAACCCGCACTTTCCCTTCTCATCAGCATGATTGTCCACGCTGCTGACACACGCTAGCTGCAGATTCAGCATCTGCTTCACAAGACCACATGTGCTGCGATGAGCGACCCGCAATCGCTTTGGAAATACGGCGTGGTGGCGACTCTGTCACTGGGCTGTCTCCTCTTGATCAAGTGTTGGAATATTCGCGATGTGGACGTCGCTCAGGCGCATACGATAGCGATGGACCTGCTTTTCAGTGCTAGATCCTGTGAAAAGTAGCAGGAATCAGGAAGTGCCCGATCACCAGCCCAAATTTGTATCGCGCTAGATGTACGAGTGCGACGCAGCACGTGAAACCCTTCGTGATCTACGTGAAATGCGACAAGAAGTTCAACCAGATATCTCTTAGCCATTACGAGTGAACGCTTACTGGCGTCGACGTGTCCAGCTACATCAAGGCGGCTTCGTTGTCAGCCGACGCGGCAGACTTTGCAAGTTGATCGAGCAACCGTTTGACACTCTTGACACGCCTTTTCAGCAACAGCCGCGTTTTTGGATCGGGCTCGCTGCGAAAGCTCGTTAGTTGCTGATGAAAGAATACGGCAAGACCGTCAATTACCAGTTGTGCCTTCTTCGATTGTAGCAAACGCTGAAACGCCAGCGTCATCTCCACTTCGCTCTCCACCTTGAGAATATCTTCCACTACAACCCGCAGGAACAAAATGCTCTTCTCCTCCAACTGCGTAAAGTCCAGCACCTTCAGACATGACAGTGACATACTGTTGTTCATCACTAGCCCGGACAGCATGCGAGCCTGGTTGTACAATCGTCGCGGCTTCAGTGACTCAATCGTCTTGAAAATGTCCCAGAACGCGAGCTGAAAGGTAAATTTGTACCTCGGATCCATCTCGCACAACTTCTCGGCCAGCACCAAATAGTACTTGTTGAACTTGTTCTCTTGACCACAGCAATGCAGCAGTACACGAACAATCTCCCGTTCCTGTTTCTCCTTCAAGTGTAGCTGCAGGAGCCGCTCATAGGCGTCAAAACAGTCGGTCGCACCCATAAGCGCGACGAAGATTTTCTTTCGCACATCTGTGTTCATGTGATGCTTCTCCGCGAGTTTTAAAAGGCGATTGTTACCGCGCGCAGTGTCATCAGCAGCATCAGCGCTTGTAGCACCGCCAATTGATTTCTGCTGGTAGCCGATCCACGTACCACCAACGATCCACCAACGGCCGTCTTCATCAGCGTGGAGAAGCTCGTGCAGCGATACACGCAGCGGGTTGTTTACGTTTCCACATCTTGTCTTCACGCGGCCGAGCCACTTCTTTAGAGATGACACGTCTAGTGCACTTCCACCAGTACCTCCTGAATTGCGGTTGTTACTGTGCTTGGATGCTTTTTTGAGGTTGTAAATAAGGTCCAGGATAAAGCGGACACGTTCATCGGACTGTTTTCCGCTTTTCACTTGTGGCGCCTCGCCCACTTTCTGCTGCACAGCAGCAACCATTTGCCGCAAAGCGTCAGCGTCATCCGCGCGAAGCTGAGCACCACCAACAATCAAAAGCTGGTGAATCAGCTCAATGTCGGTCGACGAGAAGCTGTCCACGAATGATCGAAAGAGGTCGTACACAAGAGTACAGTGCACAACGCCAAAGTTGTACAACATCATCACAAACAGCATCAAGTTCACTGGCACCTTCGACGTCCGTCCGTCGTCATCACATTCATTGCTGAGGTGTGTATCCGTGGACCCGCTAAGCTGCCTCTTCTCCTTTTCCACACTATCCATTAGTTTGCGCACCAACGCTTCGACAAAGAATCCTCCCACTTCGCTGCCAACGCTGTGATAGAGAGCTGCCACTAAAGCACCGCCAACCTTTGTAAGCGGCGTCATCACCTGCCGCGGGTGACATGTTGTCTGAAGCAGCGTCTCCAACAGAATCTCATTAACGAGCGATCGACCATTTTCACGGTAGACCTTCTCTATCTCCAAAACAACGGACCTAAACATTCGTTAAGTGACGATTAGTAACATTAAAAAACACAGCAATACAGTCACACACAACGTACTCCATATTGGGTTCAGAAATTCGATTGAGCTGGCCGTTTATTCGACGCCTCAGCTCACGCACAGCTTGCTCATCCATCTGTAACGGCTTGACTTTATCTGTAGCCGCTGCAGCGGCAGCAACTTCTGCCTCAGCTTGACGCTTGCGGCGAAGATGAGGAGGCAAGTACGCCGATGGCATCTCGGACCCGTTAACCGACTTGATGACGGGTCGACCGTAGATGTCTTCAACAACAGCAACGCTCGCCTCACCTCCATCCGTACTACTCTCCATATGCTGCTCGTTTTCTTCAACTATATTGAGCTGCCCCTCGTCATCGATCTTATCTCCGTCTTCTTTCTGTTCTGCCAACGGTTGGTCGTCACCACTCATTTCTTGGGGACCAGCACAAACCAACTGCTGGTTCCGCAAGGTATTGGCTCGAACTCCGTCACGAGCTTCATCCTCTTCCTCATCCGAATAAAAGCACGCAAGGTCCGTGTCTGACTCGTCTTCGGACTCATCAGTAGGAAGTTCCTCCATGCCTCTTAGAAACTCAGCATCCTCTGCTTGCAGCAACTTCATCTCACGTCGAGTCTCTTCGTCCATCTCCACGTCATCATTTTCAAAGTCACTGCCATCACCTGATCCAGCGCAACTATCCGCCGCTTCAACCTCTTCGTCTTCGTTGCTCTCATCTTGTACACCGTCGGCTCTAAGGTGAACAGACTTTCGTGACTTGGGCTGTGCCTTGACCACTCTAGAAACATCACGTGATTACCTCACAACTCATCAGCCTATTCAGCGCCCACGATCACCCGCTTCACAAAAGCAGTTTGCTTACTCTGAGATATGGTCGAGCCCCGACAAAAAGTCGGCAAAATCTTCACCCAGGCCGTCCTTCGAGTACTCTCTGCAACAAAGCCAAAAAGTCGCCAACGTCGGTGAGAAACCCAGTGCAAACAACGAACCACTGACATGGAAAGACAAGAGTATGAGGACTCAAGTATTGCCACACCTTTGTAGCTTCTTTAGCGCCGAGTCGGATTTCGCACTCGATGAGGAGCCAAGTCCCAATTTGACCTCCAACGCCTTGATCTCCTTATCCTCGACACCCCATGACTGCGACTTCCCTACAACACTCACACAAAAAACACCAACTAATTATAAAAAGCCACACGTACCCCTACTACATAACGCATGTAAAAAATCGTACCCTTTGCACTCGCCGCTTCTGCTAGAAACTCGTGGAATCTGTTCGTGATGCTCGAGTCTCTACGATTCGTTTTAACAGGTTTTATTTCGTGAGACACATGTGCTCGGACGCGCTTCTCTCCCGCTGGCTCCTCGTTCTTGGTCTTGCGCTGGCGCTTGTGTTTCGCCAGCTTTTTACTCGCACGCTCGTGTTTGCGCTTGTCCTTGCGGGACACTCCAGCTGCGGCCATTCGTGACCAGACAAATAGAGAGATTACGGACCCAATGGGATACGTAACCTTTGTACAAAAAGAGTCTGTTTACAAAAAGGGTGTGTTTACAAAAAGAGTCTGTTTACAAAAAGGGTGTGTTTACAAAAAGAGTCTGTTAACAAAATGGGTAGGCCCACCAATTCAGAATCAGATTTAGAAACCAATCTTTCGCGAGAAAAAAACGATTAATGGCTTCGCCTCGACCGCGTCGCGGTAATAGCGCGGTCTCGTATGGACTCCTGTGGGCGCTTTCATGTGTTCTCCTGGTCACACTTCGCTTCTGTCCACATAGACCGATAGTCGCCACAGCCCGAAACTCCGTCAAGTCGCAAATTTATGACGACCAAAATTTCATTTCTAACGCGGCTCCAAGCGGCAAAGCGACGTTGTCCTTAGTCGAGTCGCTCCCCGTGGGGGATTTCGAACTGCCGTCAACAGTCTCACAGACGTTTGAGGTCCTCACGCGCCATGTTGAAGCTGCTACGACGTCGATTGATCTCAGTGCCATGTACTGGAATTTGTTAGGCGAAGAAGACCGAAAGACGTTTTCCGCGTTAGAAATGTCTAAATTTGGAGCTGACCGAGGTACTCAATTGCTATTTGCTCTGCAAAATGCTGCGAGTCGAGGCGTTAAGATTCGGATTTTGACAGGACCACAGCAGGGCGGAGGGACGACATCGTTGCCACGTGAAGTGCAGTTGCTAGTGGATGGAGCGCCTGAGTACGTGATTGCGAGGTGCTGGAGCGGCTCCGAGTGGTATGGCAGCGGTGTTTTGCACCAGAAAATGTGGATCTTTGACTCGCGCCATATTTATGTGGGCAGTGCCAATATGGACTGGAAATCGCTGGCTCAGGTGATGGAGATGGGGGTGATGATGGAGAATTTAGCCTCGACATCGGATGTTTTTCAGGATATTCAGTACTTGTTCGAGACCTGGTGGATGTTTGCTTCGTCTAAAGTGCTGCCTGCTAAGACAGCCACGTACTTTTCAGAGAAGTTCCAGCATGACTTGCGGGTCCCTGTGTGGTCACTGTACCTGCCGGAAGTGCAGAGGAGTGAGGATCCGTTCAGGAAGGCTGGGTTTTCGGCTCTGGGGAACATTTCGCATCAGCTGCAGACGCAATTCAGCACCCCTGGAGGCGTCTCGATTACTGCACAGATATTCGTTGCGGCGGCTCCACTGGAAGCGACTGCTGGTCACTCGCGAGCTTTCGACGAAGACGCGCTGGTGTACACCATACTATCAGCCAGATCATTCGTAAGTCTCAGCGTCATGGATTTTGCGCCATTTTCGATGTACACCCCAGGATCTCTTTACTGGCCAGCGCTCAATGATGCGCTCTTAGCGAGCGTTTATAGCAAACCGAAACTGCGTGTGCGGCTGCTAATTAGCCAGTGGCAGCACACTAGCCCTCAGGTACTTGAAGCTCTTGCCACGTTGCAGAAGCAAGCAGAGTTGTGTCAATATACGCGCGCTCGGTGCTCCGGGCGACTCGAGATTAAGATTTTCCAAGTCCCGGGCTGGCAGAACACGACTTCCGGTCCTGGAAATAAAGCTCGGTGGCCTTCGTTCACTCGTGTAAATCATGCCAAGTATATTGTCACCGATACGCGCGCGAATATAGGCACGAGTAATATGGAGTGGGGGTACTTCTATACCACGGCAGGAGCTAGTGTCAATACGGATCACGAGTCGACACGTGTAGCCCTCGAGAATGTGTTTGAGCGGAATTGGAACTCAAGCTACGCTCGACCTTTGAACGAAGTCTTGGGCGGACAACATTGAATTCGCCAATAATGAGGACGTACCCATTGCCAATACGCTAGCCAATTTACACGTGTATGCAAAAAATTCGTTCTATTCATCTTCCTCAATTTCACGTTTACTTCCGTCATCTTCGGCATCACTCGTAGACTCTTCCTCACCTTCACTGCCGTCGTTTGCTGCCGCATCACTCTCAGAGTCTGCCTCACCTTCACCATCTAATTCTTCAGCATCGCTTCCGACCTCTGCGCCAGCTTCGCCATCGCCTTGTCCTGAACCACCCTCATACATTTCCTCAACTTCGTCGTCGTCTTCGTCGTCTTCTTTTACAACACTATCAGAAGTAGAGCTCGTGACTTCTTCCTCACCCGCTTCAACTTGATCAGGACCGGCGTGCACATTCACGAGTTGTGACATACCAGCATCGCCGTGGGAAGCCATATGACAATGTGCTAAAATGTTTCCGAGCATATAATCGCGCGGAGTGAAACGGATCCACACCTTTCCACGGAAAAGCGGCAGCGTGTCGCGCCATTCGCCCACCTCAAACATAACTCCATCAGGGTCAGTGTCAATATCCATATCCGACACTTGGAAATGCGTTGAGTGAATGTGGAACGGGTGGTTCATCGTCCGACATTTACTTGACTTCTCGAAAGCATCGTCCGGATCACATGACCCTATTGCTGGGTCTCGGTAATCTTTTACCGAAAGCTTCCATTCTTGTACCTCATTAACAGGCATTGAGTGATTGATATAAGCCATATCAAGTGTCTTGTGGTTAACTCCGTACATCATCGTTCCATTCTCCATCCACACCGAAAACTCGAAATCGTACTTGTTGCTCACCGAAATAGATGACGCGTGCCTTGCGCTCCCTAACGTATTCTCCATATACGGAGGTCGCTTTGGCAGCGTCGACACGAGACTAGTAGCTACGTGGCGTTTGTTGTCGTCAGATCCTTCGTCCTCCTTCCTCACATTAATCTTCACGATACGCTGAGACGGCACTCGATGTTGATTCACACCGCCCAAGACTTTGCTGCGCGAGCTTGCGCAATCGGTCTCAAGGTAGAACACACCAATTTTAGCACATCTGATTACTACATCAGCCCGCCCTCCTGGAGGAATCACAATCACGTCCTTTGCCTTGGGTTCGGCAAAGTAAATGCTGTCCATTGAAAGGACAGTAAGGGTACAGCTGCTGTCGCGAGTTGTCACGAGCTCAGCTATGTTATTCGCAATAGCGTTTACCAAACGCAGACGCTTGTATTCACCAACCATGATACCCAACGCTGGCAAGTATTGCCCATTCACGAAAAGTGTAAGTAGCGACGTGTCGTTTAGCGGCACATCTGCATCATTCTCGACAATCTCGAGATCAGTCAACCAAACTTTGCTTCTTTGACTCTCTTCGTCCACGGTATCCATTTGCATCGTCGATGCCGAAGAAGAGCTGTACCTGTTTTCAATCGCAAACTGGAGATTATCATTCACATTGTGACAATTCTCGACGCAAATCGCTTGCAGAATCATGACAAGGTCATCCGTCGCAGCCAACTCTGTCGGAAAATCGGCCGGGCGGTCAGCCACAATCAGTGCTCCAGCCATCATTCCGTTCAGCTGCGAGTTCACGTTGCCATGCTTGTGAGGATGGTACCAGAACGTTCCTGCTGGGTGGTCAGGCTGAATGTCGTAGATGTATGTGCGCTGTTCACCCGGCCTTACAGTGGGTATCACGTTGTCCGCGTCTCCACGTGGAGGCACGTGCATCCCATGCACGTGTATGTTCGTGTTATTGTGTCCACCAGCTCCTAATGAATTCGTAAGAGTCACAATCAGACGGTCACCTGGGCAAACCTTAATCGTTGGGCCTGGCACCAGTCCGTTGAACGACCTGGTGTTGAAGTCCACGTAGTTGCTCGTGAACCGCTTCAGCTGCACCGACAAGTTGACCTGTAGCTCACCATTTCCATACTCGGCAGTCGACAGATCGTCCGAGTCCGAGGAACCACGTGTCAGGCTGTTTTCATTGAGCTTGGCCCATTGTTTAGCACAGTCCGATTCAAAGATCGTCGGCTGACGAAGAGGCTGGTAGTCATGGATCGCAGTAGTCACCCCAAAGGCGACAGAGAAGATCAGTGCTTCCGAAAAGACCGTGACCCGCATGTGACGCAGGATGAGCGATTACAGCAATGCACTACGAACTGAACCGCATTGAAGAGCCCCTGCCGTAATCATTCACCAGATGGTATTGCGGAGGAACGGTCCTGCTCCCTGCCATTTCGAGGAAGCTGCGACAGCGCTGACGTCGACCTGATCGTTGAAGAACCTGCATAAGGACTAGGCTATTGATTGGGTAGCGGTCCAAGCCCTGGAGCTCGTCCTTTTATGACGAGAATTCAGTCCAGGGAACTAAATTAGATACTAAGTTTACAAGTCTGTCTATGATAGCGCTTCCTTTGATAACTGATAACCCACTCTATCTTATAGGATTGGACGTTTACTGGGGTCGTTCTACAGTTGCTCTATGCGCGCTAACTTATAACTTAAAACGGATAGCCACGAAGCGAGACATTAGTTTCGAGATGGAGAATTTGTACCCAATGTGGGAAAGTAAACTTATTCAAGTCAAGCATTGTGGGTGGTTTGCGTGGCGTTGGCACGGCAAATGTCATCCTGTAGTCTGTGGAGTACTTGGACACATAATGGTGGGTTTTTCGGGACAGATAATGCAATGCGCAACAGTGCCTAAGATACGAATCTGCTCGCACATGGTCAATGTGTATGCAATTGCCTCCTCCTCCGCTTCGGCTCCTTCTTTTTGTTCCTTCTCCTCCTACACTGCGCTCAGAATCTCTTGGTTTATGAGCTCCAGATGTGCTCTCTCGTCCTCTCCAATACAGCTGATTAGCTTATTTATGAAGAGTCAGCCGAAAATTACACGGTTTTCCTAACGAAGAACCACAATTACAGCAAAAAAAAGATGGCTTCGTGTCTCTGACCTCATATTACAAACAGGTCCAATCTTGCAGAAGAAGGTAAAAACCTGATGGTCCCTGAGGCTATTATTTTGCTGATTTGGGTAGAATCTTTTTCGGGGGTGAAAGAGCTCTGAGTGGTTCTATCGATATGTCATTTAAAATCCTTTAATTAAACACTTTATTTTAGTGTGTCTGGCATGTTTTTTTTACTTTTGCTGTTAGATTATATTTATGTTTGTGATTTTAATTTAGTTAAATTTATTTGGTTAAATATCCAGTATATTATGTTAGCACAATTCGATAACTAATAACCTTTGCAACTTTTAAGAAATGTGTTCACCTAGACTAAAAGTTAGAAGAGGGAGACCTGTACGCGTCTAAATTTCGGATTATGGTGTGGCGGCTGAAAAATAAATTGTGCGTATCTAGGTGAGACGGGATGGATGTGACGGGGTGAGCCTGCATACAATTAACCCCTGCTATTTGTTAATTAGAATATAAATACTAAGGTCGATAGGGTTCGTGGATATTACAATTACAGGTAATTGTCAGAAAACTCACCAATTGGCTGACATGGGTCATCATATCAGACAGCTCTAGCGGTCCAATCAACGATGGACACGCACATTAAGCAAGACTTAAAATTTAGGACTAAAACGTAGGTCAGAGATTAGGACTTACTTCGATTGAACATAGTTTTACTTTTACCAGCAACTAGCCAGTTTCCTAGTTGCTTTTCCTTCCTCTGCCGAGCTAACAGAGGTAGCGAGGCACCACTCAAACTGCTGTCGGTGATAGTAGCTTCACACTGGTTGTCCAGTGTGTTGCCTCGGTGCCCCGTAACAGCTGGTAGTACTTTGTAGTTCGTCCAAGGACCACAAAACCGTTTGACAGGAGCATGCAGGACGATGAAGGCGACAACAACTTTCACGTCACCCGTGAATATTACTCCCATATGAGTGATGTCGAATGGAGTGCGATCGAACGAATGAGTTCGACCGTTGACGTAGAAGCTGTATGGTCTCTAAACAGGGTCCAGCAGTATTCCGTAATCGCCAAAATCCTTGCAAAGATAAATTGACGCGTGGCGAGATGAAGTGGTTTTGCTGCATCAGCAAGGTCACCAGCATACTAAACTCCTGAGACAGCAAAAAATCAGTCAGATTCTGCAGCGTCGACGCATGACTCCAAAGTTAAAGTCCCAAGTAACGAAGAGTCGAGGAAGGATCCCAGTTGAGATGGTTCATCGGAGTAGACGATGCGATGAAGGCTCACCACATCGACGATGAGGAGATGCAAGCTGCATTCGCTTGATCAGATTTCTCAGGGCGTGCCAGAACTTAAACCCTAAATCTTAAATTACACGGTCCGAACGTATTTATATCATTGGCGGTATTTATGAATCTGCTCAGCCAAAAGTTTGAGCCGCCAAGAGCTGAGTTCATTAATCTCTCAGATCTCCTGACGATAAACAAGACAATCGTGACGTTCACGATTGCGCTCAGCACGTTCGTTACCTTGCAATTTGTATAGTGGCGAACCAGGTAAGAGAATTCGTGTTGATCACGATAATTTTACAGGGCCTTACAGATGGTCCCAAGAGAAACCATCTGTTCTGCATTAATTTGAAGTCGCTTGAGGATAAATTAAAACTGCGGTGCAAGAGCAACATATTTGAGACAGGCTCACACTAGCTTGACCCCCTATCTTTCTTCAAGACGAGTAGAAGCGGTTATTCCAGAGCCAATGGAATTAGCGTTGAGAGCGAAAGTCCTCGCTCTTCCAACAGTAATCAATTGCAAAAGTACGATCGCAGTCAGTAGTTCGGAGAGTACGCCTTCGACTATAGTGTTTCACGCTCAGCGTCACGAAACACTGAGTTAAGAGATTGACCTTCTGCCAAAAAGGGCAACAGACACGGATCCGACGCTATTGCGAAGTCACTGCAGCGTGGTGGACTTTGAAAACGGTCGGGGTTAGTAGGGTTGGAGCAGCCTAATTATCCAGAAACCTCAACAGAATTTGCAAATGTATTGATGAAAGTTGCTCCAGACTCACAATCTTTGTTGTGTCTCTGCACTAGGTGATGAGGCAACCCTCAATACTTTGAGCTTATAAATGACAAAAGAATTGTCACTTCGTGCCTAAGTTGACTGTGGGGCGTCGAAGATCTTTTTTCGTCGCCAGTCGCTGGATGATCGTAGACTCAAGCTTGTTGATCGCCATATACCTCCTAAGAGGATAAAGGTGCACCCTGAAGTGGGAACATCGGCAGAGATATGATACAATTAGTGGGATTTCACGACAAATTATAAGACTCGCAGTACAATGACAATCACATCGTTCTTAGATTGGATGACAAATTTGATGTCATCCTTCACTCTGGCTCAAAAGGTACTAGCCAAGGGTCAGCTAGTAACATCGAATCGTGAAGATAACTTCCATTTGTTCATGAGATGGCCATCTAATGAACGTCTTGGAGCCTCCACAAGCGTGTGGATTTACTGTGAGTGCGTGCAATAGCCTCATTTGTGGTACGGTTGTTAGTAAACAAGAAGCACACGATCACATTGTGACAACCAAATACACTGTATAGGAAGCTGCCGGAGGCTGCGAAGGCACAGGCGGCGTCGAAGGTCCACCACTCGAATGAGTCGAGTGAATCAGGACATGGTTGTGCGCCTAGCGGGCGACATCCAAGTAAGAATAAATCAGTTGCCACACAGAGCAATAAAATTCTAGATCGTATGGCGACTGTATCGTAGACGACCTAGACGTGGTAGATCAACCACATCCAGAATCCGTCGAGGGAAACAGTTCCCACGCACTTAAGGAAGAAAATCTTCAATCAGATATCGGTGATGTAATAAAATCTCATCAACCTGAGGTGATGAGCTCCCAGCAGCCTGTGGAATTAGGTTACCAGAAAGAAACCGAGACATCGAATGTCTTAGTTGATGAAGGGTCAAGAGTGGGCGCTTCGTAATAGATCTGATCGTGCCTCCAAAGTTGACTTCGGAAAACACACAATTGCCAACGCTGGATCTGAAAGGATTCTTGAGAGATCTTCGTTGAGGCAAAATCAAGCAGATATGTGTACTCTTCACAACGGACGACTACCTGATTGACATTCGGTCAGCAGTAGTATTGGCCGAGGAAGATGGATTCACAGCAGCTCATCAAAGGACGAAATTGTCCTCAATGAACAGACTCGAATTGATCGATATGTGTCTCAATTTTGGGATTCGCTTCAAACAAACACTTTCTAAAAAATTTGATCGAATTTAAAAGAACGTGTGATTCTGAATCCGTACTATGTGAACTGCCTAAGGATAAAGACACTCGACATGAAATCGATCTCAAACCGACTCCAAGATAATGTTTTATGAAGAAGCAGTCACTACCTCGTGAACAAATACTTGCGATCGACAAGCTCTTTGCCAATCGCTAAGCTGCGGTTCATGTGAGCGAGTTACCTTCCCACCACAGCTCTCCAAACTTCTGTGTGCGCAAGGCCACCGAAGTACAACGGATAAAAAACGCTTTTTAATAAGCTAAAGGCTACAACGGTTACGGCGTCTGAGCCGGTACCAAGAAACGATGTGATCGTTTGTGGTATGCCAAAGAGTGTTATTTTTTCGTCCATGTATCTGATGTATGGCTTCTAGTAGATCCCAATACGTGAACGAGAGATCACTTACACGGCAGTAAGCACTCCTAGCGGTATGCTCAGGGAATTTCTCATTATGCCACAAGGGTTTAGCAACGCCCCTGCCGAATTAATAGATGTGCTACACATCTATTGAGACCTGTGCTAGAATTCGAACTAATCTCCTTCGACGATAAATTCGTCCATGGACGAGATATAGGCGGAAAGACTACGGCGAGGTTCACAGAACATACGTTCGTCAGGTTCTTAGACTTATGCGTAAGCATAACCTATATGCGACCTCAAGAACTGTAAATTCGCTACCAGCAAAATACTACTTTTTTTGTGCATCGGGAGTATACACGACTTAATCCCTGATTTAAAACGTTTGAAGCAACATTCTACTGGCCATTGTAATTCGACGCCAAGGGACATAGAAAGTGTCTTGGTCTAGCAGCGTACATGCATAAGTACTCGCACAATTACCCGAGCTGACCGCTTAACTATTTCGCTTTTAAAAACGAATGAGAAGTGAT